CAGAACAATAAAAAAGAAGAATTTAGCAAAAAAAATGGATCCGTACTCTCTTCGGGACTTTCTTAACAAGAACAAAAAAGATGTAGGAAAATCGCCTCCAAATGAGCCGATCTAAAGCAAGTTCCTTAGTTTCAGGAAGTCGAGCGGGAGTGACTAGCCTTCCTTCAAAGGCCAGATGGGTGCCTTCTGTATCTCGAAAGAGATTAGTAAGGCAAGGTTCGTAGCGCTTACCATTCTTTGTGATTGCTTATTCGAAGTAGGCCGACTTTCAAAAAAGTGGCTAAACCATCCGGCAAAGAGAAGAAACAAGCCCTTCAAATTCGCGAAAAGAGCGTATTCTTTCCCAAGGGCATTCTCGGCATCTTCACTAGTCGCCTTTCTTGCTATCATTATAGCTTTCTACTAAGGTAATTTATAGCTGACTCTTTAGAGTAAGGAAAGAGACAAGAACTCGAAAGGCGAATGCCTATTATATTAGAGTATAGCACAAGCCTTTACTCAGTCAGTAGGTGGGAAGTTGTTCTTTCAGTCTTATCCGAGCTGGGGCGTCGCATCAAAGAACCTTTCTTTTTTCTGTAGAATTTTCAGCTGTTGGCAAGGAGCTACTCTTTCCCTCCACTCCGGGCTGGCAAGCTTATATCTCTCGATAGCTGCGTCGGATCTTTCCTGAAAGCTGAGGAAGGTGCGAAGCGAACTCATTTCGTCGCCAGGGTGCGTAAGCCTTCTGATCCTACTTTGTCGTTTAGATTATGCCAATAAAAAGAAGGGGAAAAGGCTCAACTGGCAGGATTGAACTCTCACTTAAGAGGGAAAAGTGATTGCCCGACGCATTGAAGATAATCGGCTGGCTTTTTGGAAGAGAAGTGGGCAATTCCGCTGTTAGACTTGCCGCTAAAATAAGCTCTTCCAGAAAGAGTAGCAGCTGCAAGAGCTCTCGTCAGCTTTTCGGGATTAACCTGATTGACCTAATCAACCCAATATAATATGTCCATTTTGAAAGAATAAGGGCTTAGAGCCTAAATATAACTAGTCAATCCATAACTGAAAGCAGGAATGGGAATTTATCCATGTCAACAGTAATCACTAGGTAAATGACTTACTTGAAGAGGCATATGAACCCGAATGGGATTGATGGACAGATTCCCTTGCAAAGAAGGTTGACTCTTCAACCAGTCTCCTATCCTTTGAAAAGGCCCGCAGCCCGGGGGTAATATATATATAGTAGCTAGGGATGAGACTTTCCTTTAATAGAAGGAATTTTCTCTTTCTCAGACAAGGAAGGGCTACGACGTTGAATTGAGCTCGGGCTTTCCAATGCCTAAGATAAAAAGAAGGACGGGAAAGGAAGACGCAGGGTAGAGCAAATCTTCCTCCTCTATGGGGGAAAGTCTATTCAAGTCCTTTCGTATGGACATTTCGTTTAGTACGAGATCGCTTCACACCTCTAGGTGATCTTGTAGACAACCTGTGTAACCTACTTTTTAAAGACTTTCTGAAGCTACTCAACGAAGGTGTAGCGCTTAGGTTTAGGTCGGCTAAGCAAATCAGTTTTGCGAAGTAGGACATCCTATCCCTTACGTGGTGAGGCACTAGTTTCAAAAGAATCTCCTATTGCTATTGGTTCTTATGTATGGGTTCTCTGTTATGGTATAAGTGCTGTAAGTAAGGTATGAACGATCGTATAGTGCTGCTGAACTCTAATCGTAATCCCTTACTGTTGGATTTCTTTCCTCTAAGCTTCTCTGAGGAGTGGCGGTTTTCGTTAATCTAAGAGGTTTTGTAGCAATCCCTTTGAGGGTGGTATCCATGCATC